AACATGGTCTCCAATTATCTCTTTGAGATCTTGCTTCCAGTTCTTTTGGGCACATACCCAAAGGTGAAATTGCTGGATCATGTGGTAATTCTATTTTTAATTTTTTGAGGAACTGCTATACTGTTTTCCATAGTACCTGTACCATTTTACATTCTCACCAGCAGTGTACAAGTGTTCTAATTTTTCCACATACTCGCCAACACCTGTTACTTTCTGTTTTCTGTTTTGTAATTGCCATCCCGATGAGTGTGACTATATTTATTTGTAAGTTTCTGTTTCATTAATTTTTAGCCTTATCGTTTTTATTTTCTTCCCTCTCATTTCTTCACTTTTGCCCTAGTGTTTGTTTTTCCGACTTCTTGAGGAGAAAGTGTGGTTGGTTTATCTTAAAGTTTATTGTGTTTTGCTAAATGAGAAGAGGAACAATGGAGCAAGAAGAAGGTAATCATAAACACATTTTTGTACCTAGTAACACAGCCTCAAAAATATATCAAAAATGCAGGAACAGATAAATTAATTATAGTTGATCTTAACCCACTCCTTTCAGTAACTGATAGATTAAATAGAGATATATAAGCAGAGATCCTGAATTATAGTTAATAAAGTCAAGATATTAGATAAATCCAAAAGTAAAGGACAAACAGCGAAGATCTCTGAAGAGAGTAAAAATAGTAAGAGTGCCAACTCAAACTTGTAAATCTTACCTGGGTACTTTTGTATTGTTTGGCTTTTGTAGGCTGGAATTTATTTGTGTACTTTGTATACTTCAAAGAACAATAAGAGACAAAAGGGGAAAAAGCAATAGTGGTTCAACTGGCTGGCTCACATTTTTCCACCACAATAGTCAATGCCTTGATTAAATCAAAATACATAGGGGGGGCACCTGGCTGGCTCAGTCAGAAGAGCCTGTGGCTCTATCTCCAGGTCATGAGTTCGACCCCCATGTTCGGTGCAGAGATTACTTAAATAAATAAACACTAAAAAATACATAGGGCTTATTGTAATTCCCAGGTTATAAAACTCATTTACAAAGTAGGAAATAAAAGCAATGTGGAAAGATATGTGTGGTAAGTACTCAAGCAATATATTTAGGTACCTACAAACACTTAGGCATGAAGTACGTTGCCTTGCTGAACTGCAAAAGCAACTCACAGTAGGTCAGAGCACAGGTGTGAAGATTTCAATTCCCATCTAGCAAGGCTCCTTAGTAGCCAGTTTGAAAGAATATGTCAGTCAACTTCGGAAGAGTAAGGAAAGAAGGGTCCTAGAGGCAAATCTGATCATACTCATCCCAGCACTATTAAAAAAAGATAAAACTTCACCCAACATTATTTGAATATTTCTGTTGATGTGAATGAAACTAACTCTCTTAGCTTGGTGCTACTAGGCAATTAATTCATTAATTTCCTCAACCTCCATTGTTCAGAGACCAAGCATCAAACATCTTTCTGACTCCCAGGCAGGTCTATCTATGTGATTTGAGAAGACTGATGATGTTGAAAGCAATAAGTCAGTCCCTTCAACATATCATTTCTCATGGTAAATCAGTGATGTGGATTTGAATCACATTTTATCTTTCCAAATACCTAGACTATAGAGAGAGAATATATGAATTATTTCCCATCTATGTGAGCTACTTTTTTAAAATTGGCATTCTGGTGCTTACTTTAGGCTGTTGTGTTTTAGCTAGCACAGTCAAGAGCACATTTCTCAACCTGGAAAGTAAAAGGCCAGATGTAATAGTTTTCCCTGATGACACAGCATATAAGTCACTTCCAGAAGGCTGTATGTTGTCTGCAAGTCATTTTACTTGAATCACCTCTGGCCACTGTGATCATCAGTTTCCTTTCTCAGAGCTCACATACATTTTGTTTAATAATCCAGTTTAAAATTTTCCTAGGGGGCGCCTGGGTGGCTCAGTCAGTTGAGCGTCCAACTTCAGCTCAGATCATGATCTCACGATTCATAGGTTGGAGCCCTGTGTCAGGCTCTGTGTTAACAGCTTGGAGCCTGGAGGCTGCTTCAGATTCTGTGTCTCTGTTCCTCCCCACTGCTTGTGCATGCGTGCTCTCTCTCGCTCTCTCTCTCAAAAATAAGTAAACATTAAAATTAAAAAGTAAAATATTCCTAGCAGGCAACTAGAAACTGATTTGAGCTCCTAGAATTTGTCTTTTCCCCCCTTTTAAATAAATTATTTACCTATCTGCTGGTATCTGACACCTCTTATAATTATGGTCTCGCCAAGCATACTCGAGATAGTTCTGCAAACAGCCCCTTCCTACCATATCATACGTACAACTTAAACAGAAAAGAAAGAAAAAGAAAAAAGTGCAAAGGTCAAATTCTCTTAAATAATTATCAATTTACTCATTCATCCATCCATCCTCTTAAGAAACATTTGCAGATTTCTGGAAAGAGCATGCTATAACATTTGGAAGAAATAATACACGTGTTCTTGCCCAGGGTTGGAAAAAGGAGGGTGGGAAGAGCGTTTGGTAGATGATACAACAGGAAACAACTAGCAAACTAAAACAAGTTCGTTACAATATCACATTTCCACCTTGGATGCCAAATGCTTGAAGAGCTTCTCTTCACTCAGTCCATAAAGTTTTACTAAGCACAAACTAAGTAATTAGAGTAATTAGCACAAACTAAGGGAGAGATTCATTAGTGCAAATTGAAGTTACTATAGACATTTTTGGTTTGAACAGCAATCTCCAGATTGGGGTTCCCATAGCCTGAGGGGAACATGAATATTCTCCAAGAAGACCCAAGTTCTAGGGTGACCAATTGTCCCGGTTTCTCCAGAACTGTCTTGGTTTTAGCATGAAAAGTCCCATGTTCCAGGAAGTCTCTCAATCTCTGAAGGCTGGATCTCAACTTACATATTTCCTCCTCCCTAAAACTGATGTGTCTGAGATCTTGCCTGGTTTTCCTTTCCAGCCACCCCCCTTCCCCTAAGTGCCCTCCTCTCACTTTATACAAGCCATGATTCTTACACATCCCTAAATTTATCATGACTTGCCCTGAACTAAAAAAATCCTCCAGAGCACCTAAAAAAAAAAAAAAAGACTATAGAAATATTGATATGGTCAAAACTTCCTTTAATATAGGCATCATAGCCCCTTGGAAGGGCATCTAATCTTTCAGTTATATATTGGTCTTTTTTTTTTTTTTGCCTTTTTTACATCTTTTTATCTTTTTGTTTGTTTGTTTTACAAATAATTTATTGTCAAATTGGTTTCCACATAACACTCAGTGCTCATCCCCACAAGTGCCCTCCTCCATGCCCATCCCCCCCCATCCATCAGTCCTCAGTTTTTGTCAGCATTCAAGAGTCTCTCATGGTTTGCCTCTCTCCCTTTCCCCCACCATTTGCCCCCTTCTTCTCCTCCTTGTTCCTCAGTTAAGTTCCTCCTAATCCTCCTATACGTGCAAACATATGATATTTGTCCTTCTCTGCCTGACTTATTTCGCTCAGCATAACACCCTCAAGGTCCATCCATGTTGCTACACATGGCCAGATTTCATTCTTTCTCATTGCCATGTAGTATTCCATGGTATAGATAAACCACATCTTCTTGATCCATTCGTCCGTTGATGGACATTTAGGCTCTTTCCATGTTTTAGCTATTGTTGAGAGTGCTGCTATGAACTTCAGTTATATATTGTGATGGTTAATTTTATGTTTTAACTTGATTGGGCCACGGGGTGCCCATATATTTAGTTAAAAATTAATGTGGGTGTGTCTGTGAGGGTGTTTCTGGCTGAGATTAATGTCTGAATGGGCAGACTCAGAGGGAAGCAGCTCACCTCCCTGATGTGGGTGAGCCTCATTCGATCTTTGAAGGCCCGAGTAGAACAAAAAAGGCAGAATAAGGGAGAATTCACTCTCTCTGCCTGTCTTCAAAATGGCACATCAGTTTTCTTTTTCCTTTGGACTCAGATTTGAACTGGAGCTTACACCATCTGCTCTCCTGGTTCTTGAGCCTTTGGACTCAAGAGCCCTTGGGGCAGAACTATGCCATCAGCTCTCCTGGTACCTAGCTTGCTGTCTGCAGACCTTCGGACTTCTCAGCCTCCATAGATACATGAGCCAATTTCTTATAATATTTATCTATGTACCTACCTACCTATCACCATAAATATATATAATCTGTAGGTCGATAAAAATAGATACCTTAAATGAAACAATTTTTTTAGAAAGACACCACTAGGATATATCTATATCTATCGTCTATCTAGATGTCAATAGCACCAAAAAGAAGAACATGCTTAGACATAAATGATAGTTGCACAGCTTGTAAGTAAATTAGAAAACAGCGAATTGCACACTTTAAATGGGCAGACTGTTTGGTGTATAAGTTATAGCTCATTAAGAAAATAGTTATTAAAACATAGAAGTATATCCCAACGGGGGAACCGGTGTAGAGCATAAATTGGGGCCTGAAAGGGAGACTGAGTGCCCCCAAAGAATTTTGTCTGCTTCATTTAGTCAAAGGCCAGCCTTTGGATGATCTCTGAAAGAAGTCCCTAGAGCCTTGAGGAGAGTGTATTATGTCAGCACCTGACCTTTGTGACATAGGCACTAGAGAACTGCCCCCAGGGAATGGGGCTCCTGGCTCCCAAGGGGGGCGGCAACGCTGCCCCTTAGACAAAGTCCAGTCTTCCGGAGGCTTTCACCAGCGGGCCCCGCTGGTATTGCTGCTACTGGGCGTGGCCAGCCGTCTCAGCCAGGGCCAGACTGAGCCAGAGGACATCACCATCAGGGGTGACAAGGGGTCAGGGAAACCAGAGTGGGCAGACATGAGGATGCTTGCTGAATCCTTGACTCAGGTTTCGGAGAGCAAAAACCTCTAACAGAAGACTTCCTCCTGGCTGAAGGAGCATTGAGGGCACGGCTCAGACAGAAAGCTGAGTCAGAGTGAGTTTAGGGTGACAGATACTGGGGACAGAGGGGGGTGTATCCACCATTTGGTGACCGTTCCTCTTTCTCCCAGGTTCCCTCAATTGCTGAAGTACCTTGTGAAACAGAGCCTGGAGGAACCCTCATTGGTAAGAGCTCACAGCATCGGAACACCCCCAATTTCTAGTCCCATCTCAGCAGCCATCCCCAAGCCCCCTCCTCCAACTGCCTTCTAGCTCCCCACCTCCATTCTTCTCCTCAGCTCTCACTTTCCCTGGAGCATTTTGCCAGCTCTTCCGACCCAGAAGGTGACATGGATTTAGGGTCTGAGTAAATCAGCCTTCAGAGCCAGAAATAGACCAATTCTCCCAACATCTTAGGTTCTCTTTCTTTCTCTACAGGTCCTATGGGTTGTGTTTCCCTCTCTAGCCCACCCAGATAATTACTGCTGCTCCTCAGCTCCCAAGAGGCAGCTCTGATTCTCTGTCCCCGTATATGCCTCGTCAATGGCTGACTGCAAAGTGAGAGGCCAAGTTTAGATCCAAGCGCCTGCCTGAACTCTCAGAGAGCCTAGTGCTACAGGGCCGCGTGTCTCCCCGTCCTCAACCAACAGCAGCACCGACACCAAGCTGGAGCCACACTTGGGCACAGAAGGCCCTGACTTCTCTGCCAGGTCTGGCTTCAGAGATACTGTCCTGATTCTGCTAGGTCTCTAGTCCTTGGTCTTGAGGCCCCAGTCCCTTCTGGATTCAAGGCAATGTTGCCTCAAAACAAGGACCAGGTGCTGCAACAGAACACAGCATCCCCTGGGCGCCCCCCTCAGGGCCCCTCACGACTTGTGGACTTGCCTTCAGGCAACCTACAACCTCTGCCTCCCCAGGCATCATTCCCTCCCTCTCACTCCCCTTGCTTCCCTCCCTCACTGTCCCACTCTCCTGTCTCCCCTTTCTACTCCTCTGACACAAATTCTGAGTTTGTCCCACATCCCTACTCTTCCTCCCTCCCAAGTTCCCCCACTTTCTTTCATCAGAATTACTTCTCTCTCTCCCTCACACACTCTTCCTCTCCCACCCACCAGCTATACCCGTCTCTTCCTCCTACTCCGTCCTCCTCTCCCTCTCAGCTACAGAAAGCCTCTCTCCCCCATTCCCACTGCCCATCTCCTTCCCTCCCAGGGTACCGCCCTAGCTCTACTGTCACCTCCCCGGCCGCCAGCCTGCCTTCTCGTGGGGTTCACTCGAAGAGGCAGACATGGCCCTGGCATCAGTACAGGGACACCGGGTCCCCTGGGGTGGTGGGGAGATGTGTGGCAAGTCAGAGGGACGCTGCAGAGCTCAGGGACCCAGGAGCCCTGGTCCAGGCCCTGGTGGCCCATCTGGGGCACCGCCGCATTGCACACGACCTGCGGCTACTGCTTTTGCAGCGCCTCTGGCTAGGCACCACTGGCCAGGCCCCAGTTGTAGAATATCCTATATGCCTGGTATGTCTCAAGCCCCGCAGCCCCACGTGCCCCATCCCCACGTACAAGACTGGACCCCGGCTGCTTGCCTTCCCCCAGCTACTGCCCTGTGCACAGCGCCAGGAATCCAGACCACTCCGCCTGGGCATTGGCTTTGGCCTCTGCCTGCCTCGGGGCCAGGCCAGGGCCTTGCATCTGTTGCCAGAAAGAAGGCCAGAGGAAGTAGGTCCTCAGGGCAAGGCCGCTCAGGCCGGTGGGTATCAAACCCAGGCGTCCCAGCCTCCAGCAGCTCAAGTACCGGTGGCTCAGGCGCAGGCAGATCCAGCCCGGGGCCGCTCCTCCCAGACTGGGAGTCTCAGATCTACAGGCCCTCAGTCACCAAACTCTATGCACTTTCCAGGGCCTCCGCCTCAGGCACCAAAACAGGCCACTGTCTCCCTGAAGCCCAGGCCTTCCTCTGCCCCAAAGAGGCCTGCCTCTCCAGAGCCCATTCTCCAAAAATCGCCACTCTAGTTCCAAAGCCAAGGAGGCTCCCTGGAGCACCTCCTCCGAACCCCACTGACCCCACCAGGTCCCAGAACTCAGGGAGCCCCCGAGACTCCCTGAAGGGCTGGCTGGCGGAAAGTCAGGTGTGTTCTCCAGCCTGGAACCCTGGGAGCCCCTTATGGAGTCTGCTCTCTCCTGGCTGAAGAGACCCCATTCAGCGTTAGAGTATCCAATAAAGCCTGACCTGCAGAACTTGTGTTTGTGTCCTGTACAGCAGACAGCGGGTAGCTGAACTACAGGGGCCACAACTAAAGAAGGGGAGGGGCGGAGTCAAAGGAACCAGAGTGGCCAGGGAGAGTTGTTACCATGTATCTGAGGAGGGCATGGGCTCCATAAAGGCCTGAGCAGCTGGGACATTCTGAGGGCTCTGCCAGGCTCTTCACACATTTAATTCAGTTTGGTGGGACAGATAATGGCATCCCCAAAGGTGAAGCCACTGGGACTCTTCCTCTGAGTGCACATTAGTTTTGCAGGATTTGTTACTTCAATACCTGGGATTCATTGTCTCGCCGCTTCAAAGAATGAAGAGGTGGACACATCATGAGCAGAAGGCAAAAGTTTAGTAGAATATGAGATCAGAAAGGAAGAATAGTATGAAAGTTCTCTTTACAGGGAGGGGACATTTGAAAGTGAATGCCTGCGGACTAGAGGCAAGAGTCTTTGTTTTATAAGGTTCTGGTTGCCACACACCCTCTTCCCTTCCCCCTTGTTCCTTCTCAAGGTTTTACCCTTATTGGCTTGATAGCTCTAGATGCTGGGTTGTCCATTCCTGATTGGCTCATTTTCATTGTATGAGGTGTGGTCCACGGCCATACCATTCCTTGTGGGTCATACGTTTTAGGGTCTACCTATTTTTAGTCAGGTCTTTTGTCAAATTCCTGAGGGAATCCTAAGGGGGCGAGTAGGCGGTGTCTGTTACATTCTTAAGAGGAAACTTACATCCAAGGGGGTTTGCTTTGGTCAGACCCTCCCAACATTGTTCCAAAATATGTTTTTCCCCACCCAGGGACCTCAGGTCCTAATCTTTCCCTCTCTGCCTATCTTATCCTCTTTTCCTATCATATTAGGTTAACAAGGATGCTTACTGGGGCACCTGGGTAGCTCAGTTGGTTAAGCGTCTGACTTCAGCTCAGGTCATGATCTCACAATTCACGGGTTTAAGCCTCACATCCGGCTCTGTGCGGACAGCTCAGAGCCTTGAGTCTGCTTCAGATCCTGTGTTTCCCTCTCTCTGCCCCTCCCCCACTTGTGCGTGTGCGCACTCTCTCTCTCTCTCTCTCAAAAATAAACACCCCCCCCCCCACATACACACACACAAGGATGCTTACTTAGGCAGCCAGGGGACCAGCAGGAGGTGTCTCTTTGAAGGGATGGACGCTCTTAGGGTTCACTTGCAGAGAATCATTAAGAGTCCTCATGTTGAAGATCAGAAACCCAAGGGCCCCCTTCAGGAAGGTGGGATGTCAGGCAGAAAAGAGACCTGACCTGCCTGGGAGCCAAGTCACCTCCCTCTGAGGGTGTCAGTGTGGAACAATCCCCACTCCCAAACCCCTGAATGCATTGTGAGAAATAAGGCCACTGATCCAATCAAAGGAGGGGCATGGAGCACAGTGAAGCAGAGCACAGTGAAGCGAGGCTTTAATTAACATTCTTGTCAGAGCAGGTGTCTGATGGACAGGCACAGTCGGGGCAATTACAGCAGACAATTTATCTCCTAGCATGAAGTCCCTCCCCTGGTTCCTCATTGGCTGAACACTGCAGAGGTTACAGCCTTACCCAGACATTGCCTATGCCCGTTTAAGGCAAAAAGTAATCTTTTTTGAACACGTACATTTCCTGAGGTGACACAGAGACTTTCAGTCCCTTCTTTGTTCTTTGGTGCATGTTCATTGCAAAGCCTTTGGAAAATAAGCCCCAGAAACAGAGAGGGGAAGACCAACCAGGAAGTGAAGTGTCCAAGGGTTTGAGACACCCTTATGGGGGGGGGGGAGAGTGGGGGTTCATATAGATATAGGTTGTAAACCTAGTGTTAACTAGACACCTCAGCTTTCATTTGGGATTTCTGAGAATTAATCATCCCCCTTGTCACAGTGCAGGGGCAGTATGCAGAGCTGTAAGCATGGCCAATTCTCACATTCGCCAGCCACAGAGATGAGGTGGTTAGTTGTTTAGGTAAATGGTGGGTTCCTCACACTAGGAAGCAGTGGATTGTGGGTTTGAGGCCAGTTTTATTTTAAAGTCCATGCTGCCTCCATTAAAAGGCAAGAGACACAGTTCAAGTTCCCAAATATTGAATTTCCAAAGTGTGTGATGTGGGACAAATCACTTCCTCCCTGGTGTAAAAGGTAAAGGCTGCACATGTGTATTGGCGTAGGAAACTAAGGCAAAAGAAAAAAGTTTCCTCACAATTTACATTGACAAGTCCTTGAGACAGGCAGTGTGACCTCTAGAAACTCAACTGCCTCGATGTTGACGCCGTGCTAAGGGCAAAAGTCAATCTTAACATTGTCCCGACCCTGTAAGATCCTGTAGATCTAATTTAACATATAAAATTTCCTTTGGAAACCTCATCTCTAGCCCCCAAGATATATGTTGGCAATCATACTCCAAACATATGGCCCACTGATATACATCTGAAGTGTCTCCTGACTGAGGTTTTACTGAACAGTAATAAATGATGTTTTCCTAACAGCAGCTAGATCCCCCTCAAGGTCCTGGAAACCTAGCTTCCAAAATACCTTGGAGGCTTGTGCTGTCCTTAACCATCTCTCAACGTGAAAGTATATACTCAGTCACCCCTCACAACGCCAGCGCAGCTCTTTCTGCCCATGGGTCCAGTCCTGGGCTTTAACAAAACCACCTTCTTGCACCAAAGACGTGTCAAGAATTTCTTGGTCGTCGGCTCTGATCCCCACTTCCGCATCATGTATCACTCTTAAAATGGTGACAACCTTAATCCAATAATTTTTTCTTTTAAGATTTTACTTTCAAGTAATCTCTACAACCAAGGGGGTGGGGGGGGGGACTCAAGTTCACAACACAGAGATCAAGGGAAGCACGCTCTGGGACTAAGCCAGGCAGGAGCTTCCAAGGATTTCTTTTTTTAAAGGTTTATTAACCTCTTTCGACGTTTATTAGCCCCTTCCTCCTCCAGAATCCCGTGGAAGAGGAGCTTGCCTCTTTGACCCCACGCAAACACGGCGGAGACTGACGTCACAGGAGGGCAGATCCTGGCGCGGAGGTTGCGTCACCCCGAGGCCCGCTAGTGCTGACGCGTATTGGCGGGCCTGCGCCTGCGCATGGCGAGCCCGGGCTAGGTGCGCGTGCGCACTGCGAATTCGCCCGACCGGGTTAAGACGGCCCGGGGCGGGGATATGGATTCTTGAGTGTGGTTAGAGTTTTGGCAGCTCCGAGGGTGTGAGAGAGTAGTCGAGAATCCTCCTGGCGGCGACGGGGTTAAATTAAATAGCAGCCGGGAAGGGTGGTCGAAAGCCGGACGTGGCATGTCCCGGCTGCCCCGGTGCGGATAGTGAAGCCCGCGGCGAACAGGATGGGCCGGCGCCGGGCGCCGGAGCTGTACCGGGCTCCGTTTCCGTTGTACGCGCTTCAGGTCGACCCCAGCGCGGGGCTGCTCATCGCTGCGGGCGGAGGAGGCGCTGCCAAGACGGGCATAAAGAACGGCGTGGTGAGAACTCAGGGCCACTGGGGCCGGTAACGCCACGGGCGATGGCGGTGGGGGTCTTCAGGGTGGGCTCTACCTCCGGCTTCAGACTAGCTGCATCTCTAGCTTGCCTCTCCCCGGTGGAAGCCCGGCGCCCTGGCGCGAATTTCAGCTGAGAACTTATCAGGAATCATAAAGTGGAATAAAAACAGCACACTACACCGCTTAGGCAGGAACGCTTCAAGTCAACCTCACCAGCGGCTCCAGGGGTCTGTCTTATCCTGGTCTTTCTGGGGAGGCTCCATAGACTTGTCTCTCTGCTCGCTGGCAGAGGCGAGTGCTGCATTTGGCTTTTAGGCAAGGTTTTTTCACTCTTCTGAGGATCACCCTATTTTGTAAACTGGAGGTATTAATTCCAGCCCTCTTTGCTGTACAGATTTGTGAGGTTCCAGCGAAAGAAACAGAAAAGGAAAGAAGTAAGCAGGCTGGATAAAGCCTTTTAAGTAGAAAGTGTAGTAAGCAAAGAGATAGGCTTTAGACTATAGGATATAAGTTTGCCCTTGAGGTGCTCTCTGGGCACCCCTGAACCTTGCTCACCCGGGTTCCCTCTTCTACAGCACTTTCTGCAGCTAGAACAGATTAATGGGCGCCTGAGCGCCTCTTTGCTACACTCACATGACACAGAGTCGCGTGCTACCATGAACTTGGCGCTGGCTGGTAACATTCTTGCTGCAGGGCAGGATGCCCACTGTCAGCTCCTGCGCTTCCAGACCCATCAACAGAAGGGCAAAAACAAGGCAGAGAAGGCAGGTGAGAAGCTTCCTCTTTAACTTTGGGGAAAGGATTGGGTGAGAAGATCACTTAGTGTGGTTTCAAAAAAAATGGGGTTTGAAGTGGGTTATGGGAGCAGGCAATAAGCTCCATGTTCACTACCAGGGAGGGGGCAAGTACTACTTACTATAGAACGCTGGAACCTGGCAGCCTCTTTGTATTTCAGGTTCCAAGGAGCAGGGGCCTCGACAGAGGAAGGGGGTAGCCCCAGTAGAAAAGAAGTCCGGAGCTGAAACCCACCAGGAGGGGGTAGAACTCAGTGTAGAGAATTTGCAAGCGGTGCAGACAGACTTCAGCCCTGATCCGTTGCAAAAAGTTGTATGCTTCAACCACGATAACACCCTGCTCGCCACTGGAGGGACGGATGGCTACGTTCGTATCTGGAAGGTGTGATTTCGGGGGTTAGAGGATGAGTGTCAGGAGCAGCAAGGTCAGAATTGTGATAAACTGATCTTGGGTTCTGGAAAACTTGAGTGGAGCTTGTACTGAGTGGCGGAAAAGAAGAGGGGGAGGGATCTTGCATCCTTGGTAGGTACCTAGCATAACCATGGTGGTGGTTTGGCCGCAGGTACCCAGCCTAGAGAAAGTTCTGGAGTTCAGAGCCCACGAAGGAGAGATTGAGGACCTGGCCTTGGGGCCCGATGGCAAGGTGAGGAAGTGAGAGTGTCAAAAAAGTAGGTGATTATGCTGCTTGTCAAGTAAGTGGATCCCCTAACTGTCCATCCTTGGAATCTTGATTCCTGACTAGTTGGTAACTGTGGGCTGGGACCTTAAGGCCTCCGTGTGGCAGAAGGATCAGCTGGTGACACAGCTGCACTGGCAAGAGAACGGACCCACCTTTTCGAACACGCCTTACCGCTACCAGGCCTGCAGGTGTGAGACCCCAGAGGGTAGCCAAAAGAGGCACAGCCTAGATGTGGTGCGGGAATGGGAAGAGATGGGGGGAAGCTGGGGAGGATGGTAGCCTTGGTGGGTGTTACCCCAGGCCTGACCAGGGTGCAAGAGGGCACACACCTCTGAGAAGGGCTGGGCAGGCCCCAGGAGCTCAATATCCTCTCACCTGGCCCCCAGGTTTGGGCAGGTTCCAGACCAACCAGCCAGGCTGCGACTCTTCACAGTGCAGATTCCCCACAAGCGTCTGCGCCAGCCCCCACCCTGCTACCTCACAGCCTGGGATGGCTCCACCTTCTTGCCCCTTCGGACTAAGCCCTGTGGCCATGAAGTCATCTCCTGCCTCAGCGTCAGGTGTGGGACAGTGGTGGCTTGGCTGGTTGTGGGGTGCCTGGGGGAGCTTGGGAAGATGTCCTGTCTGAGGCTCTGAAGAGTACTGTTGGTGAATGTTGCTGCATAGGCCTCCGGAACAGAGAGCACTTTATTGTTTGTTGCAGTGAATCGGGCACCTTCCTTGGCTTGGGCACAGTCACTGGCTCTGTTGCCATCTACATAGCTTTCTCTCTCCAGGTAATGGGTAAAGGTGGGCACAGCCCTGAGGGCTCTTTGGGGTGGGGACTCGGGGCCTCCTCCAACCTAAGTGTGGAGGAAGGGTCTGGCCCAGCTAGACCAGCTGGGAAAGCCATGTGGGGACAGGGAGCTTGTTTTCCAGAGGAATGTTCCCAAGCGGGCCATCCTTCAGTAGTTCTCCTGTCTCCAGCGCCTCTACTATGTGAGGGAGGCTCATGGCATTGTCGTGACGGATGTGGCCTTTCTACCCGAGAAGGGTCGTGGTCCAGAGCTCCTTGGCTTCCATGAAACTGCCCTGTTCTCTGTGGCTGTGGATAGTCGTTGCCAACTGCACTTGCTGCCCTCACGGAGTGAGTCATTGGGATGGGAGTGGGTACCACCCTATCTCGAGCTATAGCAACTTGCCCCTTGGAGAATGGGCCACTTGTGTGTAGCCATCTGTCCCCTTCTTGGATGGTTTTGTTCTTAGGGCTGTGAAGCCCCTTTGCCTGCTGACTTCTTCCCTTACCCCTCCTGCAGGGAGTGTTCCCGTGTGGCTGTTGCTCCTGCTGTGTGTCGGACTTATTATTATGACCATCCTGCTGCTCCAGAGTGTCTTTCCAGGTTTTCTTTAGCCTTTCTGCTCCTAAGGAATCAGGGCCCTGGGCACTACTGTCTTCTAGACCGGAGTAGAGGCCTGAACCCCATTGTTCACTCCACCTGGGTCCGTAGTTGGGATTTCTTCTGATGAGACTGATGGGTGCTGCCTGCCCTGCCCACTTAAAGCTTGGCTATGGCCCTGTGTGACTCTGAATCCTGGGATCCCTTCATTCTTCATCCATGGATCTGCTCAGGACAGTGGTGTCTGAAGTCCAGGCCACACCACCTACATTCTTCCTCTGCCTGCCAGAGGCTCCAAAGTTGAGCTTGTCTGTTCTCCAGAAATATGTGAGGATGCCCAAGAACCTGGAGGTACTGCTGTCCATCAGTTGCTCTCCACGTGAGTCCCTGGCGTTTGCCGAAGCAAGCACTGGCCCAGGACTTGCCGTTAGGGAAGGAAGGGGCAAAAGGAAGACCCAGGCAGTAATCTCTGGGTCCAGCTGGGTAGCTCCAAGCCAGCCAGGTGACATATACAGTCGGTTCCTGGATGGTCTATCCTACCCTTGAGAAAAGGGAAAATGAACCTCAGCCCATTCAGCAGGAAAAGTTGGTATTTAATAAACAAGCAAAGACTGAACCGAGAGCCCAGTGGTATTCCTGTCAGCTCTTGCCTCCCTCAGAAGGTGAGAGCTCTCTGAGACTGAGCAGCTCCACTGGGTGCTGGAAGATGGCTTTGGCATACTGATGCAAGAGGCGGTTCATGTAGCAGTGCTGCCAGGGGAACAGTCCTTCCAGAAAGCCAATGTGGCCACCCCGGGCTGTGATGAGCAGGGCAACATGAGGCGAGTGTTGGGCAGCCTGTAGAGGAAGGGCTTGGGGAGGGGTTGGAGAGGAGGTCAGAAACTGGCCTTTCCTGAGAACCCAGTCTGTCTCCCCTTGCATCTCATAGCCCGTTTTCCTGAGGGTCTAAAAGCATCTAGATTCAGGGTGCTCACCATGGACTGGGGAGAAGGGGTCATCAGCTGCATTGAGGCAGAGCACAGGGGTCTGGATGGCATCTACCTTGGTTCTTGGGCTTGCTGCTTGGTAGTAGGTAATGCAGTCTTGATATCCAAAGGCCACAGCTGTGTAGCGCTCATCGAACTGGCGGATTGTGCGGGCCTGCGTGTGGTAGAGGGTTGGGTATGCCAGGATGAGGAGAGGGAAGAAGAAGATACTGAACAATTTTGGGCAGGGGGTGGTGGTTGGAAGACTATACCTGTAGCACAAAGTCTACGTTCACCACCTTTTCTATCACCTTTCTGTTTCTGCAAAAGAGTTCATAGAGATATGACCCTCCTGGACCCAACCCTGTCTTGTAAATAAGCAAACCCAGGTACAGAACTGGTCCAAGCACTGGGAGAACCCAATATGTCTGCCATCCCACCCTGCCTGCTGCCCCCTCCCACTTGGCCAAGACCCTACCGGTTCACAATGTTGCAGAGCGCAGCAGCAAGGCGCTGGTTGAAGAGTAGTGAATTGAGTGGGCTCTCCAGGGAGCGAGTGGTCTCGGAGGAATCCCAGCATGAAGACAGAGTCAGTGCTGCCACCAGCCCTGAGTCTTGCCCTGTTTGTGCTAGGTGGTTCAGCACTAATATCCTGAAGGACGGACCAGGGGCCATGAAAGAAAGGTTTGCATTAGTGAGTTGGGACAGAGGAGTGGACATGGAGGAGGAAACGAAGACTGGAAATGAAGACTGGACCTTTGGGTCAAGCCCAGGCAACCTTTACCCTCCAAGAGAGATGCCCACGGCCAGGAGTGGAGCTTGGGAATAGCGGTGCTTTATGTGGTTCACGACCATCTCCAGATCTTCAGTATTGCTGGCACAAAAGGCCCTGTGGGTCTGAGGCAAACCAGATAATTGGGCAGGGAGGGAGGCCCTGGCCAGAGGCAGAAAGATGAAAGTGTTCAAGAGATGGAAGGAGGATAGGTAGGTAGAGCCCCAGGGCCAAGGATCTCTTAGGGGCGTGGGGTGAAGGGCTACGATGAAGAAAGGATACTCACCAGCAGTTCTTCCCCACGGCAGCCTCGGTTATTAAATACAACAGCTCTGTGACACACACAGGTACATCTCAGCCCGACCTTTCCTAGAAGCCCCACTCCCCTTTTAGTACCCTTTAGAAAGACCCCAGTCAGAAGGTGCCCTTCATAGAGTGCTTTCTTCCAAGAGGTATCAGTGTCTTGATTGACCTCCCCAATACAAATTCTCACATACCCACTTCCTCCAGACCAGGCCCATCCTTACCTATAGCCATCCCTCAGAGCTTGGTTAACCAGTTGTAAGATGTAGGAGTCCTGGCTACTGCCTGTGATACCGGGAAGCAGTAATACAGTGGGCCGGGTAATGGGGTCAGGGTATTGACTGCTGTCGTGTGGGCTAGCCCAGTCTAGCAGGAACTGTCCTCCATCTGGGGTTTGGAGGACTTCGCTGTGGTTTTGGAGAAAAGGGCACACAAAGATACTATTAGGAACTCCTTGTGCTTCAAAAGGTTTACCTCTCTTCCCCCACAAACAACTCCAACTTCCCTTTGGTATCATTTGAGGGCATACACCATGCAAGACATTAAGACCACAACAAGGTGTAGTGGGGCATGCGAGATGAAATATTACCTCACTGTGGTGCAATTCAGTAGCCCTTCTGTATCGCCACTCTCACTGTTGCCCTCAGCACACTGAGGTAGATGGGGCAGAGAACTGAAGTTTACTTCAGTTTTGAGAAGTAGACAGGAGTCCCCTGTAGCTGCAGCGCCATGTTCACCCCCTCTGTCCCTTCTTACCTCCAGTAAGGGACTGGAGGCGGAGACTGCAGTAAGACTCGGAAGATGGTTTGTAGCCGCCCCTCAAAGCACCATAGCGTAGGGTAGAAAGTCTCCAGAGTGACTGGACAGTGTTGCTCCAGGAAGGCCAGAAACCAGGGCCCGGTCACCAGTTGAGGCCTCTGTAACCACAACACAGTCCACCTTGCTCCGCTGGTGTTTGTACAGCCAGTGAGGCACCTGACACCAGAGTGACCCCTCTCCAGAGGCCGGCCTCTGCGGGCGAGAGATCTAATATGCCTCAGTCTGGAATGGCCAAGTCACCTCTGTTGATAGAGTGCCGCTAGAGCCCCGAGGAGCTCCAGCGCTGGAGGGCAGCCTCTCCAGCACGGACTCAACCAACTCGGTACCAGGGCTGGGAGCTGCTGCAGCTGACTGAGCGCAGACTCTCCTGCTCTGTCTGTGCCCCAAACCCATTTTGGAGACAGCAGGTAATACCAGTTGCCCAGCTGAGTCCTTGTGGAAAAGGCTGGTTGACATTCTGGTAGGAGGCTTGAAAAAATGCAGCCCCATTCAGTCTGTGACTTTGGCCTTGCAATTGATTTACCTCGCTCTTCCCAAGACTAGCTCCCACCGTGCCCACTGCTCCTGATTTTAGCGCCCGTTGCCACATACTCCCTACTGTGTGTGCTCACTGCTGACGGGCTTCTACCATGGCACCCCATTTTCTTGCTGACGGGACCCCTGCTGTCAGACCATACCAAAGAAGGAACAGTCCCAATGTGAACATATTTCTGTCTCATGCCAGCTGGAAGGAAGGTAACACAATGGCAGGACAGACAGACAAGTCAGTGGGAACTTGGCTCTTGACTTTCAACCCCTCTGCTTGGTTCTTGGCTACACATCAAGTGAATGAGAGGGCCCAGCCACATAGCAGGCTTATGAAACGGGTGTGCTATACAAAGCCGAAAGGGCACAGGCTTAAGAAACAGAAATTGCATCTCTGCTGCAAGCCCTAAGGAACCCGAGGACCAGATTCCCATGTCTTCTGCAGTAAGGCTAGGTAAATTATGAACAGGAGAGGCCAAGTTGCTAGTGCCACTGCGAGAGATGTGACTCCCAACCCTGGTCCTTAAGCCCTGGACTAATAATGTTTGAGATTCATTGAGTGCTACACAGTTTCTAGACTGAGCCTGACCTTATGAGAGAGGATATTTTATTGGTGAAGAAACTGTGATAAGTTGTTTTCCCAGAGTCACAGCAAGCAAGAGGCAAAGCAGAATTTGCAGTTATGTTAATACCAATACTAGGAAGTAGAATTTGTTGAGTGCTCATGTTTCAAGCATTGTGCTAAGCACTTTACACGATTACATCCTGTGATTTTCATAATAGCTCTTTGACAATAGATTCTATGATCCCCCGTGGGAACAGGTTGGAATGTTGAGTAAGTTGTCAAGGGTCATGAAGCCTGCCAAAGACAGCTAGTGGCAGAGCTGGAACTCAAACCGAGGTCTGACTCCAGAGCTTGTGCTCTTAGTCACTGTACTCTGTTACCTTCTAATTTCCAGGATTTTGAGTTGTCATCAATTTATGGATTTTTTTTAAATTTAGTTATTTTGAGAGAGAGAGTGTGCAGTAGGGAAGGGAGAGAGAGAGACAGAATCCCAAGCAGGCTCCATGCTCTCAGTGCAGAATTTGGGGCTCAAACTCAATGAACCACGGGATCATGACCTGAGCTGAGATCAAGATTCAGATGCTTAACCAACTGAGCCACCCAGTTGCCCCAATTTAGGGAGTTCTTGATCAAATGGCTCAGTAGTGTAGAATAAACTAGGTCACAAGTTTCATTTATATGGCTAATTTCGTTTTAGCTCTAGGGAAGTGTTTTTTGACTCATTGCTGAGAATTAATTAGTAATATTCCATTGGTCACTGTGGGTGAATCAATACTAGTCCATGATCATGCTGGACAATCCTAACTCCTCAGGGCTTCCAGAATATGCTTTTTCTTGCATTTTAATGAATATTTGGAAGTCAAGGAGGGGTTTGGAGTTCTCTGTGGCTGGTTGGAAGCAAAGGAAAATGTTTAGTTAAGGATGGCTCTGGTCTGAAATGACTGACTTGAAGTCAGGCATATAAGGTAAGCCTTATAGGGTACTGTGAGGTTTGGATTTTTGTTTTATTAAGGCAGACTTAATACATGCGAATGTAGAAAGCTCTGAATATACAGAAAGTTTAGGTAACATTTAAATTCCTTATAGATCTTTAAGGGCTTGAATCAAGTTTTTTATTAGACTCAGTTACCTAGAATAGCTTAATGAAGATTAAATGTTTTTGATTTTTCTAATATATAAATTATGTATTTTATCTAAATTTCATTGTTCAACTTCAGTGTCCAAGTTTATCAAAATCAACCTCTTTTGGGGCGCCTGGGTGGCTTAGTCGGTTAAGCGTCCGACTTTCGCTTAGGTCATGATCTCGCGGTTCGTGGGTTCGAGCCCCGCGTCGGGCTCTGTGCTGACTGCCAGCTCGGAGCCTGGAGCCTGTTTCAGTCTGTGACTCCCTCTCTCTCTGACCCTCCCCTGCTCACGCTGTCTCTCTCTCTCTCTCCTAGAAATAAAAAAAAAAAATTAAATAAAGAGACTTTGGTTTTAAAAAAAAAAATCAACCTCTTTTTTTATATATTTTTAAATTTTTTAATGTTTTATTTATTTCTGGGAGAGAGAGAGACAGTGTGAGCAGGGGAGGGTCAGAGAGAGTGGGAGTCACAGACTCTGAAACAGGCTCCAGGCTCTGAGCTGGCAGTCGGCACAGAGCCCGACGCGGGCCTCGAACCCACGAACCGCGAGATCATGACCTAAGTGAAAGTCGGACGCTTAACCGACTAAGCCACCCAGGCGCCCCTAAAATCAACCTCTTGAGACTTTACCATTGCACTATATATACGTGGAGAGCCTAGAACTTAAAAGAGGGCTGGATGAACAACGACAGGGTTATCCACGAGTCCTGAGCTACGCGGGGAACCTTTACCAGCCCTTAAGAGAAGCAAGGCTCTGCTAAGTGGACGGGATGGTGGGAGTCAGCCACATCTGCACAGGCCTCCGGTTCCTTTGTTCTGTGAAGCTAGCGAGAAAGCGTCTCCCTAACACCTGAGGATACCTTCCAGCTGGCTCTTCCTCAACTGTTTGTCCATATTATAGGGAGCAGCACCTCTCTGATGGGTGAAAGGCCCAACTGGCATGGGGAGCGTTTGGGACGCAGAGAATCTAGGCAGGCAAAGAACCAACTCTTCGTTAGGTGATAATAGCAAGGCAGAACCTGCTGTAGCACGGCAGGGCTGGTGGTGGGGTTGGGGCATTAAATTTCACCTGGGGGGCCGGGGGCCCAATCATACCACCTCCCACAAAGGCCTCTAGCCTCTGGCTGGAAGCTGCCTCTTAGGCCCAAGTATCCTAAACCCGCCAGCCAGAACTCTGGACCCGCACCCACCTGGGGCACACATGTCCAGTAGTAGCCCAAGTAGAGGATAGCGCCAACACCCAAAAGCAGAGAGAAGGGCTCCGTCCAGATGCCATTCTGAGGGCTCTGGGAAGAGCTCAGCATCTTGGATGGTTGGGTTCTGACTTCCAAGTTCTTGACTGGCTCCCGCGCCTGGTCCTAGACCAGGCGGTGGCAGGTGTGTGCCGGGCCCCGCCCGCTACCCGCCATTGGACAGCCTGTGCTGGGATGGTCTCCGCTGCGGGGCGGGGCGAGAGGGGGTCCGGGCCCCGCCCCGCCCGCCGCTGCTGGGCTCCGCGGCGGGCGTGGCAAGGGGCGGGGCCGGGCCTCCCCCAGGGTTTAGCTGATCCGAGTTACCTGTGGTGGCCTCTCGGTCTTGTGGCCCACAAGGCGCGCCTGGGCGCCTCCTGCTTCCGCTTCGCGGCGACTAGCGGTGCCGCCCCTTGCGAGGACTACCACCCTCCCCCCAGCTGCCATCTTGGTGAGAGGCGTCTCCATCGCCTTCCTCAAGCTCTGCCCCCGCCACGCTAGTTAGCTTGGTCACCGTCCCCCAACCAACCAGTCACCGACACACAGGACACAGCCTCTCCTTGGTGACATCCTGCCATTTCACACGGTCCAGCCGTTCACTGTGACCTTCACGTTCAGGACGTGGCCACTCACCTTGTGACGCCCTGCCGTCCTACAGTGTTCAGCCATTCACAGTAGTCTTCCCACACTGGACACAGCCATTCACACTGTGACATTCACTCTGTCACATAGGTTTCAGCTATTGAGTGAATGGCATTCCACGTAGAGTCACACACACACACAGGATAAAGTCACACACACCATCACTCTACATCATCTTTCATAATCCCTGCCAAGTAAGTACAGTAGATATGTACTCATCCCCGCTTTGTACCAGGCAGTTGGGTTACCGTGGAACACTATTCTCTTTCATCACTGGAATGTGGAAACAGATAAGTAATCTAATAGAGCAGTGGTTCTCAGCCTTGACTGAAGATTAGAATCATCTGGGAGTTTTGTTTTTGTTTTTAAGTTTTAAATTTTTTTTTTTTGAGAGAGGGAGAGACAATGTGTGAGCAGGGGAGGGGCAGAGAGGGAGGGAGACACAGAATCTGAAGCAGGCTCCAGGCTCTGAGCTGTCAGCACAGAGCCGGATGTGGGACTTGAACTCGTGAACCATGACATCATGACCTGAGCCGAAGTCAGCCATTGAACTGAGCCACCAGGTGTGCCTCATCAGGGAGTTTTAAAAACAACCAGCACCCAGGCCTCACCCCCTGCTATAGTTGGTCTGGAAAGGAGCCTAGGTATCAGCATAACTGAGAAGTTCTCCAGAAGATTCAAATGTGTAGTCAGGATTGAACCCCTGTGATAGGGCACAGGGCTAGATAAGGGAAGTGCTAGCTGCAGTGGGCGCACTGAGGAGGGTACCCAAACTCCACGGGTCAGAGAAAGTGTACCTGGATGTTAAATGATGATACATTTAAGGTGAAACCGAAGATTGAGTAGGAGTTTCCCAGGCAAAGGAGAGGTGGGAAGAGAATAGTTGTTCTTCTGGGAGCAGAAACAGCATAAGCAAAAGCCTGGATGTGAGAGACTTCTTAGAGGAACCCAAAGAAATCTGGTGTGTCTGGAGCATATGAGATGGTCAAGAATCCGGCTGTGAGCAGCAACACAAAGGATGTGAGAGTTTAAACTAAGGTTGGGGGGAAACCATCAGAGAGTTTTACAAAGGTGTGAGCAACATGGCCATGGTTATGTTTTCGAATAATCATTCAGGCGACTTGGAGAATGCAATGGAGGAGGATGAGAATGGAAACAGGCCAGTTAGGAGGCTGTTAACAGTACTTTGGCCTGGCAGATGGCTGCCTGGACTGGAGGACGCTTGGGAGACGAGTGAAGATCTTTAAGAGAGGAGGCAGAATAGAATAGGACTTGGCAGGTTGGAGGTTGAGAGAGAAGGAGAAATCATGAGGGACTCCCAGGTTTTTGACACTACGACTCAGGGATGCATGGCGGTACCAGTCTCTGGGTTGAGGAAACTGGGGGATGGGAAAGTTTGAGGAGGAGGATGCGTTTTGACTCAGACACATAGGGAGGTTAGGGTGCTGGTAGGCGTTCGAATTGCATTTTCTTAGATTGTGTATTTGTCTATTTGGCATCCATTAGTCACAGGGCCAAACTAACAGCCAAAGTTGACATTTCGCCTGCAATCCAGAGCCCATACTCCGAGCCACTTCTTTTATCTAAATCTCACACAATGAGCCAATATTTCCCCTGTCCTAAATCAACCCAGGGTCAGGTATCAGATAACTAGGGACAGTCCCAGTGTCCCAACACCTGCCTGAATGACTCCAACTAGCCAATCCTAAACTGTCTACCTTGCCCTGCCTTGCCTTTCCCACTTAATAAAGGCTTCAGCCAACGCCTTCCTCCTTGCTCCTTTCTGCCCACGTACAGAAGCCCACTGGGGCTTCCCCTGGTCACCCTGTGTAGTGAGCTGTGCCTCTCATTTCCAGGGTAACTGGAACACTAAACTTTTCTTTCCGTGACATTGACCTCCCCATGTTGTCACTCAGTCACCTTTATAAGTTAAAATCTAGGCACAAATTTGAGGAGGTTCAATTTCTGGAGAAGCCTGGGGCTTGAAGATTGGAATTTGAGATTTGGCCATCATCAGCATTTAAATGATACATATCAGTTTTCAGGGCTGCCACAACAAAGTACCTCATACTGGCTGTCTTTTTTTTTTTTTTTTTTTTTTTTTTTTTTTTTTTTGAGAGACAGTGTGAGCGGGGGAGGGTCAGAGAGAGAGGGAGTCACAGACCGAAACAGGCTCCAGGCTCTGAGCTGGCAGTCAGAACAGAGCCCGACGCGGGGCTCGAACCCACGAACCGCGAGATCATGACCTAAGCGAAAGTCGGACGCTTAACCGACTAAGCCACCCAGGCGCCCCACATACTGACTGTCTTAACAGAAGTCTATGGGCTTACAGTTCTGGAGACTAGAAGTCCAACTTCAAAGTGCTAGAAAGATTGGTTCCTTCTGAGAGCTGGGAGGAAGACTCTGTTGCATGTCTCTTCTCTGGCTTCTGGTGGTTTGCTGGCATTCCTTGGCATGGAGAAGGTTCATCCTCACATGAAGATGCTGACTACATCTTACGTGCTGTGTGTGTGTGTGCACGCGCGCGTGCATGCATGTGTCTATGCCCAAATTTGCCCTTTTTAAAAAAATTTATTTATTTTGAGAAGAGAGAGAGAGCAGGGGATGGAAAGAGAGAGAATCCCAGGCAGGCTCTGCACTGTCAGTGCAAAGCCCAACTTGAGGCTCATACTTACAAACTGAGATCATGCCTTGAGCCGGACGCTTAACCAACTGAGCCACTGAAGTGCCCCCAAGTTTCCCCTTTTTATGTGGACACCAGTCATACTGGAGTTGGGGGGAGGGCTCACCCTCTTCCAGTATGGCTTCATTTTCACTACTTATGCCTGCAGCGACCCTATTTCCAAAAAAGCCACATTCTGAGGTATTGGGGGTTAGAATGTCAACATATGACTTTTTGATGGACTCAGTTCAGCCCATAACAGATAGTGATGGAAGCAACATGAACAAATGAACACATGAGATGGGGAGTGAGCATAGAGCCGAGGGGAACTCTGATGCATAAAGAAAACGAAGAAAAGAGTAGAGGGAGAAGATGGTGTTGCTGAAACAGTGGATACCATAATTCAAAGGGGGAGTGTCCAGCGATGTCCACCATAGGAAGGACGACAGGGTGACTTTGATGAGAGTCCATTTTTTTTCTGATAGATACCAGTTGGAAGGAGCTGGTGGAGACGGAGAAATTGAAGATTCTGAAGGGATAAGAAGTTATTCCTTTGAAGAACTGAGTCCTTGTGGGGCGCCTGAGTGGCTCAGCCAGTTGAGTGTCTGACTCTTGGTTTCAGCTCAGGTCATGATCTTGCAGTTTGTGATGACAGCATGGAGGCTGCTTGGGATTTTCTCTCTCCCTCTCTCTCTCCCTCTCTATCTGTCCCTCCTCTGCTCATGCATGCACACCCACGTGCTCTCTCTTTCACAAAATAAATAGAAGAAAGAAAGAACTAAGTCCTTGGGCCAGTGGGTGAGGATGTAGTCTGAAGCCTAGGAGGAATTGATCATTGTGACAAAAGTAGGTGACACTCCATTTTGAGTGGGTGACACTGCTGGCAAATGACTGCCACCATCCCCCTTAAGATGACACTTTTCCCAGCCCTCTCGCCCACCATGTCTCATATGGAGCCGCTTCTCAGTGATGCACGCGGTCACAGCCACACAATGACACCCTCCCTGGAGACCAGCAGTCACAGCTGTCATTTGAGCATCACAAACAACTCAGGAAAGAGTTCGACCAAATTCCCTAACACATGTACCACTACTGTCCTCTCCTGTCACACACCCAATCATTCCCACACTGGCCATACTCTCTCAGGGCCATGCTGTCACTCTGGATACACAGTCACACAAAATACCCCTACTGTCACAGGTGCCTCACACACAGCCACATACACTAGTCACGGTCACACTAACAGTTACATTCTGTCTTGTCATACACACAGCCGGGTGCCAGCACCGGCAGCACCACGGCTACACGTGCTTCTCAACACCAGCACCGCCGGCTATCTCTCTAGGTGTCTGGTCCTGTCACTCTCACAGAGACACAGGCGCCTGCGCGCACGCGCCGGGGCCTCGGGGAGGAAGCCCCGCGCGGGCTGCAGAGGGCGGCGGCCCTGCCCGCGGCTGCCGGCGCCGTGGACTCTGCCCGGGCCAGGGCGGCGGCCGCCCGGAGGGCGACGTGGAGCGGCCACGTGGAGCGGCCCGGGGGAGGGCCCGGCGGCGGCGGCGGCGGCGGCCCGAGGCGCGGCCGGCGCACAGCCTCCAGCCGCCGCGAAGCCGGACCTCAGCCCTCCGCGGGCCGCCGCAGGTGGGTCCGCGCTGCGCCTCGGGCGGCTTCGCACCGGGCTGGGCGGGCTGGGGGCCGGGAGGCGGCGGAGCCGCGGGGCGGGGGCGGGGCCGCGGCGCGGGGGCGGCCCCCCCCGCCCCCGGTCTCTGGGTCCCTAGGCGGGCAGGCGCAGCCCCTCTGCGCCACCCTCCCCCCACCCCACACACACCCTCGGCGTGGACGGGGGCAAGGAGCGGCAGCTCCAGCCTCGGGGCAGCTCCCGGGAGGAGGTTACCCCCGAGGGCGAGTAGAGACAAAGGGGCTGGAAAGCGAATCTCGAGCCCTCTAGGTGTGGTGATGGGGTCTCACGGCTCCCCGGCCACCTTTCCCCCAGGTCTCCTTTGTGGCTCTGACGTCCTAGGAGGGAGGTTGGGGGCTGGCAGGAGTTTCATGCTCATTTGACAATTGAAGAAAAGCGGGGGCTGGCGAGGGACCCCAGCTGGAGCCAGCTGGAAGTGTTAGGACGGAGGCCAGCTCCCAGGTGTGGGACCTTTTGGGCTGTAAAGCCGCTCTCTCTTCTTTTGGGGGGAGGAGAGTGTCCTGGGAGGCACAGGGGGCACCAGAGGGATAAGTTAAGGGTGAGGACTTGGTTCAAAAGAACTTTTGGACAGTTAGACTCAGCCAGAAATGGGATGGATGCCCTATAGGATGCTAGACTCCTGCCCTGGGAAGTCAAGCAGGGACTGAATGGCCACAGACAGGGATGCTGTGGAAGAAAGCTGTGCCCTGGATGGGCAGCTACCCAAGATAAAAGGCCCTGCCACATCCTAGATTCTCTGGAGATACTCAGAGAGCATGCGCTGGCTACCAGTCATTTAAGGCACATTATCCCACTGCATCCTCCCCAGGCCCTTGCTGTTGCTCCAGGCTCAGAGA